CCATTTCAAAAAACAGTCACTTCTGCATGCAAGTCCCTTAGCAAAACAGCATTTTCAGAAGCAAGATGCAGAAGAACCCAAGTTATGCAGTGGCTACAGATCTTTTACAGGAAGGAAGACAAAATAGCAATTACAGTTTATAAAACTTGAAATGGTCTACAGTCAAGCAACATCTGAAATTCTCCCTCTCTAACCATACAAAAGGAAGAAATTAACTGCTGCTGCCTGGGGGAGCATGAGCCCTCATTTCTTCTGGCAGTTAAAAACAGTCAGGAGAAACAAAGGTAGAGCAAAAAATTGCTGGGCATCTGGGTAGCCAGAGCACACAATCTTCTGTGGTATCTTCAGGCCTCATGTAGATGTTTGAGACTGCAGTTACATACTCATCACAAGGTGCCCAGATTAGATTCTCCATTCATTTCATTGCATACTTACACACATATCCCTTTGTCATTATATTTAATACTTTTGTGACTCTTCCAGTATACAGGAACTTCTTGAGAAGTTTTGAACTGTTCAAAAGTTGTAAAATTAAGCTACTTAACACCTTACCAAGAGAGTTGCAGCATCTTTTACTATCACTGTTGCTAAGCAATAAGAAAGGTGAGTCAGATTTCTGCTTTGATTTGTTTCAATCAACTAGAGGCTCACAGAAATTTAAGTGGGATCTTTGGGACATCTTACCTGTCCTTATACGTTGTAAAAGTTTACCTTCAGTGAGGAAGGAAAGAAGAAGAAATAGTGATGCACTGCAGTCAGCTGTTTGGGAAGGAACTTATCCCTGTTGAAGCCTGAATGACCCTCTCCTGGCCTTGGGACTTGGTCAGAGCTGGAGGAGAAGTGACCTTAGGGACTGGTCCTTAAGGGAAACCCGCCCCCGCTCTGCAGGGCCCTCCTCTCTGCCCGCCTCGCGGTTTGCCGGGGTTCGCTTCTGCTGGTCACTTACCTTCTGCATCCCACCCCCCCCCTCCGATCCTCCAGCCGCAAATTCGCCTGGAAAAGCAGGCAGCGCCGCCCCGTTTCCCCGCGGAGCCCCGCTGCGGGTGAGCCCCTAGACGGCCGCACACGCCGGGCCTGTCCCCGGGCTGCAGTGAGGCCGCTCCGCCAGCCCGGCCCCGCGCTGCTCTGCCCTGGGAGCCAGGAGGGAAGCGGCGCGTCCCCTCCGTTCCCCCGAGCCCCGTAAGGGGCTGAGTTCTGCTCGGGTGCCGCGGAGGGCTGGCCGAGCTGCAGATCCGACCTGTTGCTTTGCTTTTTGCAAGCACAGCCGTCTGTTCAGACGATGACTTCAGTAACCCGAGATGTGTGAAAGGAGGAAGACTCGCATCCCCTCTCAGCCACCTTCAAAGGTGCGCGGTCAGACAATTGCCGCCGGCCTAAACTTTCAGGCAGAGCTGTTGGTTACGAGCACCCCCGAGAGAGAGGCGGCCCGGGGGGGCGGGGGGGGCGGGAACGCCGCCTGCGAAAGGCTAGTCCTCTCCTGGATGTAAGGCTTGAGGCGAGATAGTAACCACAGCGTCTCGCTCCTGCCCATAGTGCCAAAGCCCAGGGAGGGCTCCAGGTGCTGCAAAACTTGGGCAAGAGCAGGGATGTCCCGCGAGGCCAGGTCAGACGTTTGCGAGGACTCCGCTCCGGAACGGTGCTGCAGAGGTGCCCGCCGGGTCCCCCAGCTGCGAGGCAAACCCCCGGCACCTGCGGGGTCCCCTGCTGCTCCCCGAACCCCCCCGGCGCCGA